AAAGAAGCGTCCTCGACGCACTCCATGCAGCGCACCAAGGTGTAGGTGCAATGTGTGCAAGGGCAGCAGGTTCAGTTTTCTGGCCGAACATCACCGCTGATTTTACCAGAACAAGAAATCAATGCACCCACTGCAACAGAGCAGCAAAATCAAACCCAATGCAGCCACCAATTGTTGTCACACCACCTGACTACCCATTCCAGAAAATATGCAGCGACTACTTTTCGAACAACAACACGGATTATGTTGTCATTGTCGACAGATATTCATCTTGGCCGATGGTGTTCAGATCAGAATCAGGTGCTGAGGGTTTGATCAAACGTTTACGCGAGACATTTGTTACCTTCGGCGTCCCAGAGGAATTAACCTCAGATGGTGGGCCACAATTCACATAAGGCAAGACAAAAGAATTCCTGAAGTCTTGGGGAGTCCACCACAGGCTAACACCTGTGGTAAATCCACACGGCAACTGTAGAGAAGAAATTGCAGTCAAAACCGTCAAACGCATGCTGATGGATAACACTGGCCCAGCCGGGTCACTGGACGTCGACAAATTCCTACGCGCCATGCTAATGTACAGAAACACGATTGACACTGAGACCAAATCATCTTCTGCTCTTATCCTGTTTGGTCAACCAATTAGGGATGTGATCCCCATCCCAATGGGTCGGTACTGCCCCCACCATACGTGCCAAGAAACACTCATGTACAGACAAAAGGCCCTTGCTAAGAGGCACTCACGAAGCCCTGAAAAGTGGATCAAACATACGTGCATGCTGCCACAACTGCAAGTGGGGGACCATGTGTAGGTGCAAAATCTAGTGGGAAACCATCCAAGGAAATGGGAAAGGACAGGTGTTGTCACCGAAGTCAGGCAATTTCACCAGTACGTCGAACGTGTCAACGGGTCAGGTAGAATTACGCTAAGAAACAGACAGCACCTGAGGAAATTCACGCCCTTCCACAAAACGTCTACAGTCATCACTGGCATAACCCCAATCACACCAGAATCAACCCGTCAACGAAAAGGCCCCGACCTTGACTCCCTAGTATCGCCGTCACTACCACCAGAGAAGTCCCAACAAGCAAACGGCCCAAGAGAGCTTCAGCGGCATGACCCAGAATCAACTTCCGTCCTGCCGGACAGCCCCGACACACCTGACACAGGACCAGCCTCACCTGACAGCCCGGCCGAGCCAGTAGCTGTGCCTGACAGCCATGTCGAGCCGGCATCAGAACCCGAAATCCCTGACAGGTCATCAGCCTCACAAAAAACTCCCGGCAGCACTAGCCCGTCTGCTCTCCCACAACAAGCCAGGGAAGCTAGAGCAATGCCCCCTGGGACCCCGCTATCACAGGAAGAATGACATTACTAAATACTGAACCATACATAACAAGTGAAACTATTACTATTAAGTGGTTATTATATTCATACGCTGCAACTCTTGTATTTCCCCTTTGCTCCTTACGAGGCAGCTTTGGCACCGGCAGTTGGTAGATCGGATTTCTACCTTTCGCTATATTCAGTTCCCTTAATTTACTTGATCCATCTCATTCTTATCCTCAAAACATCCTTCACTTTCTCTTGACTTCTTTAAACTTTTCCTCCTCATCCTTTTGCATTGATTTGTCCGGTGTCTCATGAACCTTTCAATAATTTTTTGCTTCGTAATATTTCATATCATTTATTTCACTTTCCATTGTCGGATCATCTGAGCCATCAGTTTTAAACGTACCCTATAAAACTTTTCCCCGGGAGAGGGAAATAGATAGATATTAAAATAACCCATCTCTCACCCTTCCTCAGATTGTCCATCATCCTTTTCCACTCACTCCAACCATACACATCCCATAACATTTGAACTTAGGGGGGAAGGGAACAATACACATCCAATCGCACTGTAATCATCTTTCATACATGATGCTTGTATCCATGTTTAACTAAGAATAGATGTGTGTGTAAGGATCAAGGGACCGAAGTGTCACAATATTGAATGACACCATCCTATGGATGGGACCATGTATGTCTCTTTGAAGCTGATTTGTTTAATTGATATTAAGATAATTTCAGCCCTATTAGTAATCGTCATTACATCCATTCTCATTGTTCGTACCTTTTAGTTACAGTTCAAATTGTCGTGTTGAATATATTTGTCATGTTGTGGAAAAGGATTTCACCCTTTGAATCTTAATAAAGAGCGAGTTCAATAACACCACTGAAGGAAGTTATTCATCTTTAACTACTCCCCCCCCCCCCCCCCCGCCTTTGCGATAATTGGAACGTACACAGTGTGCCCCACGCACGAGGTGAAATGTTACACACATAGTACTACGTCACCAGCCTCTCTCACTCCCTGTGGCACATCAGGCCTAATTAACAAACAATAGACCCTGGGCCCTAACCTCGCGTCGAGTATCTCATCTGCTAGAGTTTGTCTGTTTGCCCGCCTGCCCAGTGAATAAAATTGTGGAGCGGACCCAAAAAACGAACTGACTTGAGGCTTGAGGTCCGCAGTCCGCTCGCTGAGAGAGCCAAATTGTGGAGCGGACCCAAAAAAACTAACTGTCTTGAGATTCGCAGTTCGCTCTCATGGCCGTCTGTTACCCGTTCGCTCTGACTGAGTCCGCGAGTAACGAACCCGTCCGTCCGCTCACCCCAACTCTACTATTCACCCAAGCAGATCTGAGAGCATTCTGAAACAATCTCAACTTCCTAGGAAGCATACAGTGTAAGCAGTCATTTATAGGCACTAAAACACTAACATATATATATATATATACGAAGGAACTAAATTTATATTCGGAATCTGAACTGAGTCCTGCATGACGTCCGTTCCGACTTGTGACCCTTGTTCCTAAGTATTTCCAGCTTTTACGAACATTTTTTCGATTATACTGTGATAACAGTCGAGGCTTGAGCGTTATTATATCCAGTTACTAGATCTAGATCTATCTAAACTGGCCCTCCCTGCATCATTAGTATCATGGACAAAACGACGACTAACTTTCAGCTAACCTTGCAGGGGGCAAAGTTAATTATGTGTACCAATGAGATTGCGCGTAGCGATATTGCACTCTGGGTTTGCGGGGGGAAGAGGTTTTGGGAAAATTTTTAATGTTTTTCACCTTTAATCAGCATTTTTCAGTAAAATCCACACTGAAATGTGTTTTTTAATGGAGATAAAAAAGATGTTTAGCCAAAAAAAAAATTTGATACAAAATGCCAAACAAACGGAAATTCACCTGTTTCTTCTAGTTCATTATTTTGACGAACGCCTGATTTTACCATGCTGCCTCACATTTATGTGTTAGTTGAATCCGACTTATCATGATGATTTTTATGAAAAGGGGTGGGGGTGGGGGGGGATCAATCTCCAGTTTTGGTCTCAAGACTAATGATGTCTGTAATTTTATGGTTAGAGTTAGAGGGTAGGGTGTAGGATTGCGGGATTGTAGGATAATAGGGTAGGCTAGTTAATCATTGGGGCCAATACTAGAAAATCCCAAACACAGAATCAGTCTCTTTTCACTGAATCCAATCCGAGTTCGTGGTATCCGCGTTTCACTGTAAAATTAGTAACATTTTTAGAACTAGTTTTAATTCTGATTTTACGTAAAATCCCCCGACGACATTTATATTCCTTACACTCACATATAACTCACTTAGAAGCTGAGTCCGAATAAATAAAACATTTTTTTTCGGACCCGAGTCCGAATAGATTAAACCCATATTCGGACTCGAGTCCGAATAGATAAAAATTATTTTCAGACTCGAGTCCAAATAGAGCTGGCCATATATATATAATGACAAGTTCTTTTGCTGTCTATGGCCGGGTACTACTAAATTGTAAAAATTCAACCTATAAATTTGACATATCTATTTCAATCGCGCTTAAATCTGAGAAGTAAGTCATTTTTTCAGCGCGCCTCACATATATTCTTACTTTATTGGTCTTCCAGTTGACGGTCCACTCTGAGTGTCTGTGAACTGAGTGGAGTCAACGGCGGCACCATGGGGGTTGAGAAGAAGCTGAAGCAGTACGTCATGGATGACCGGCCTGCGAAACTCAAGTCCTACGCGGAGTCCCACAACGTTGACGTAATCAATGTCACTCTAGGACGAGGCAGGGGCCTCTTGCACTACTGTGCTCGATACGGTTCTTCTGCCATGCTGAGGTAACTGAGAGAGAGACAGAGAGAGAGAGAGAGGGGAGAGAGAGAGGGAGAAAGAGAGAGAGAGAGGGGGGGGGAGAGAGAGAGAGAGAGAGAGAGAGAGAGAGAGAGAGAGAGAGAGAGAGAGAGAGAGGAGAGAGAGAGAGAGAGAGAGAGAGAGAGAGAGAGAGAGAGAGAGGAGGGGTGGGATTGGGAAAGAGGGAGAAGGAAAAAGAGACAGACAGACAGACGGAGGGAGAGAGAGAGAGAATGAGAGAGAGAGAGAATGAGAGAGAGAGAGAGGAAGAGAGAGAGAGAGAGAAAAACACTCAGAAGTAAACTTGGCCCATTGTGGAATAAAGGGGGAGGGGGATATTAACATGTTCTTACGCACAGTAGAATTGTAAGTGGGCTGATTTTTCAATGTCATGCTTATACTGTGCCAGAAAAACAAAGGGGGAACTGCTGCTTTTTCTTTCTTCATCCTTGCTATCGTCATTTTCCTTCTACTTCTTTTGTTTGTTTGTCACTCTCTTGTGAACTGCTTTTTCCGGGGTGCCTTGATAGTCGAAGCAGACTTTGTGCTGTTGAGGCTAGAGAGGTGACCAGAGTAAGCCTGAACCTGTATGGACTTCTCTTTTGACATCCACCCCTTGTGGCTCATATGACCTTATGCATTTGCTACCGGCGTAAAACCTTACTAAAACAGAAACAGCATATTGTCTCTGTCTGTAGGCCCCCTCTGTCTTTTTCTTTTCCTCACTTTATTATGACCGCTGTTGTGTTAACCCTATCCATACGTAATGTTTTACTATCCATACGATGTGTGGAACTCTGTGCCGCCACTTTCAAAGAGGAAATTTACTTGTTAATCTGATGCGTACGCTTTGCATAGCTGTCTATCAAAATGATTTTTTGAGAAATACTGAAAGTTTCAAAGAGATGGGTGGTTGTCGGGTGCTCTGGTGTTGTTTGCTTCTTCTTTCCTATCAAACATCTATCGTCCTTATCTCCCCTTCTTCTTTTTTATGGTTGTTACTCTCTTGTAACACCTCTAATCTTATGACGCTCATATGACCTTATGCAGTTGCGAGTGCCTTAAAACCTCTACTAAAACCCAAAAAACCCCCTTTAAAACTAGACTAAAAAGAATTGATTGTTTTTGCCCGTTTGTCTTAGTCTTTCCTTCCACTTTGTGACAGCTGCCGTGTTAATGTGCTCCGTTTTACTCTGTCAAACAAACCAGGTGGTTGGGTGGTTGGCGGGTGCTCTGGTGTGGTTTGCCCCTTCTTTCCTGTCAAATTTATCGTCCTTATCTCTCCTCCTTTTTTGTGTACGTTACTCTCTTGTAACGTATCTATTCTTCGACATTCATATGACCTTATTGTGTTGCAAGTGCCGTAAAACGTGTACTAAAACTAAAAAAACGAACCAGGTGTCTGCTGAAGCTTGACTGTGTCCCTGACCAGCTGGACCGGAGTGGCAACCTGCCCCTTCACCTGGCCGCACTCAGAGCATTGGAGGAAGACCTGGCAACGGCAAAAGAAAGTGAGCTCGAAATAGGATTAAAAAACAAAAAATTGACTTTAAAAAAATCGACTAAAAAATGTACCTTCATGCCTGCAGTAGGCATTGCTGCTTATGAGTCGTCTTTTTTAAATTGAAACTAAAACTACCTAAAAAAAACCTCGACTATAAAGTTTACTTTTGTCCCTGCAGTAGGTATTGCTGCTTTTGAGTTGTCTTCTTTTCATTTAAACTAAAACTATCTCCTTATTTTCTTTGTATGTTACTGTTTAATGACACTCATATGTCCTGTTTTTGTTGCATGTACAGTAAAACTTTCAGTAAGTGGGTGGTTGGCGGGTGCTCTGGTGTGGTTTGCTTCTTTTTTCGTATCAAACATATATCGTCCTTACCTCCCCTCCTTCTTTTTGTGTTTGTTACTCTCTTGTAATACCTCTAATCTTCTGGTGCTCTATGACCTTATTCCGTTGCAAGCGCCATAAAACCTCTAGTAAAACAAACAACTGTCAGTAAAACTAAACTTTTCGTCTTTTTCTCTTTATTATGTTCTAGCTTTTGATGGGATGGTGATTCCGTTATTGAAGGCCTACCCGCTGGGTCAAGACATGGAGGACTGCCACGGGGTCACAGGTCATGACCTTGTGGCAGCTGTCAAGGACAAAGTGAAAGCTTCATCGGTAAGTGCAGAAATCAGTTGTGGAACTACTTTTTTTCTGTAGAGTTGAGTTGCTGGTTATGCCTCGTTACTTGCGTGTGAATACAATAGTAGGCTACCTGCATGTTGAGTCGTTTTCTTCTTGAAATTCCATGTTCAGTCACAGATTTCACCACAGTCAATTGTGAAAAGAATGATAATTTCCAAATGTGTAACACCCCATCTAGGCCTACATATGTTTCAACATTTAGTTGGGGGCATGCTTCTGTCCTGCCTGTGGTTGTTGTTGTTAGCGATCCAGTAGCATCTGAGCGTTAACTCTCCTGCATGATGCCTTTCTGTAATAGTTGCATGTCTGTTCTAATTGTTGTCTTGAGGACTAGAGGCAGTTAGATGTGTGGGATAGCTTGGGAAGAAGACATCTTCTCAAATCAGTTAGTTGTCTACAAAAGAACAGATGATGTTCCACTGTCTCTGAGGGGTAGTTTCATAGTGGGCAGGCAGCGGACTGCTTTACTCCAATTCGGTTGAGATGTTGATTGATGGGCACATGTTATGTTCTAAGTTGGAAGATTATGGATTGATTTCCCCTTCTCAACTCATCAATTGGATTCTTTGACCAGTGGTTTCTTGATGTGGCCATACATCATCCTTCCTGTCATACCTGTGGGCTGTCAGGGCCAAACCGAGCTATGCAATGTCTCAGCAAACAGACTAAGATCTACTTGCATTTTGAGAGTTACATTCCGGTGCCTGTGGTACAGCAGCTAGATACTTTGCTTTCATGTACAGGAGATGTGGGCTCAATTCCCTACAGTGAGATTTATTTATCGAGCATCTCAGTCTGTTTGCTGGGACGTTGCATCGTTTGATTTGGCCCTGACAGGCAGGTCGGAAGCAGGTCGCCTACTTAATGTTGTAAATTGTGTAGATGGGCTGCAACACATTTGAAAATTATCATTCTTTTCACAGACATGCTTGTGATGAGTGTGCGTGGTTGACGGATGCTCTGGTGTGGTTTGCTTCTTCTTTCCTATCAAACATCTATCGTCATTATCTCCCCTCCTTCCTTTTTATGTTTGTTACTCTCTTCCAACACCTCTAATCTTCTGGCGCTCATATGACCTTATGCAGTTGCGAGCGCAGTAAAACCTCTACTAAAACTAAAACAATTAAACTGTTACTACTCTAGCTAAGAACCTTTTAATTTATCTAATCATTAAAAAAATTTTTTTCTTCTGTTCTCAGACTCCGCAGCAAGAGGAAAAACGGCAAGAAGAGGAGGATGAAATGTGGAGGAAAAAGCTGAACGAAGAAGCCATGTTTGAGTTTGAGGAGCAGAACCCACGCTATCACACTGAGGAAGGTAGTCAGTCAGATAATTATAATTATAATAGATAGCATTTGTATAGTGCAAATCCCCACTCAATAGCAAGCTCCTTCACAATCTATACTATTACCTCAGCAGACCTGAGAGCATTCTGAAGCAACCTCAACTTCCTGGGAAGCATACAGTGCAAGCTGCCATATAGGCGCTAAAACGCTAACATATTGAGATCCCACTCAGCTGTGTCTTTGTTGTTTACAAGTTGGACTGTTCCTTTGAAGGGGTTGGGGTGGGGGTGGGTGGGAGAAGGGGGTGCTCTGGTCTAGTTTCCTGCTTTTTTTTTTGCTTTTTTATTAGTAAGAGTTTTATGGCACTTGCAAAAATAATAAGGTCATATAAGTGCCGATGATTAGAGGTGTTATAAGAGAGTAACGAACACAAAAAAAGGAGCAGGAAAGAGAAGGACGACAGCTTTTGATAGGAAAGAAGGAGCAAACCACACCAGAGCACCCGCCAACCGCCCACTTAGATTTCTAACAATTTTTCTTAGGTAAACTTAAAATAAAAGGTTCTCACAGATGGGGGCACCTACTACAAAATCTGAATCTCGCCCTATCGCACTTGGAAGACATAATTTGAAGGTTTTTTTCACACCTTTGAACTCGTAGAGACTGTTTCCACTTCGTGTTGTCATAGTGAAATTTTATTTTTTTCTGTTTCTCGAAGTCAAAAAAAAAAAGAGAAAGAAGAAATTGCTTTTGAAATGTTCCATTATGTCTGTCCCCGTGGTTTTATGCAAAAAAAATTATGAAATTATGCAAACGGAGCCCAAAAATGTGAAATTATGAGTTTCTTTTTATATTTTAACAAAGAATGATAAAGGAAAATAATAAAGAATTATGCAAAAAATGATCAAATTTTCCTAAATTATGCGGGGTGCATAAATCCCAGGGGACAGTTATGTGGGAGAGGGCATTACAATTGGACAAGAACATAAAATGTCTTTCTACTCTCTGTGTCCTCAGACTTCAGCCAGGAGAGAAGCACGGAGTCGTACGAGGACTGGGCTGAACGGATGCGTCATGAAATGTCGGCCAGGTGGCAAAAACAGTCTCATCAATTCACGAGAGATAAGAAACATAAACGCAGACATTCTCGCCGAGACAAGAGTGAGGAAAGCGGAGCAAAGAAGTCGAAGGAAGAGGGGGAGGGGGAGGGGGAGCAAGAGCGGCTGAACAGAGCAAGGGAAGAGATGAGGAAAAGGTACAAGCCTCCCCCTCACGTTCCCAACACAGACAAGTTGGTGGAGAAGAAGAAACGCTATGAGAGTAAATTCTCTCATCTGCTCAATCATCTGACCACGGGGCGGACTCTCACCTACGGGTGTGTCCCCTGGCCTCATCTTAGCCTGGACAGCGTCGCGGAGACTTTGTTCTGCGACATGCCGGACAAGAAGTCACCGGTGTACAGGAAGTACCTCAGGTCCCAGCAGGTCCGGTGGCATCCGGACAAGTTCATGCAGAAGTTCGGAGATCACTTACATCCCGACCATGTGCCAAAGATAATGAACAGAGTGAAAGCGATTTCACAAGTGTTGAACAAACTGTCCAGTGAATAAAAATACAGTGAAGACTTTCTATAAGGACATCGTGGAAACCAGAAAAAAATGTCATTATAGAGAGTTGCCAAAATTTTGTTCACGTAATTCTGCATCATTTGCATAATTTTGGATTATCCGCGTTTTTTCACGTCAGCCACAAAACAATTAATTAACGCCGCGCCATGTGACTAAAGGGACATAATCACCGTAATAAGTCTCATTTAAGTGGAATGCTGGTTATTTCCCTTGTTAGAAGATCTTGGTTATGGGTTGTGATTTTGTTCCTTGAGCATGCTCAATTTTCAATCCATCAAAAAGTGTTGTTCTCATGCATGTCTGCTGATGTTTCATGTTTGACAAGCGTCCCTGGTTTTAGTAATGTGCCAGCATCAGAGGTCCAGATGTCCTTTTTTTTTTTTAAACATTTTTCTTTCCTCTATAGATCTAGATCTACAGTTGAAAGTTACAGAGATTATTAGTTTTGGTTGTTGATTTTTTGTACAGATGTGTATTGTTTTCTTTTCCAAATACACAACAAATTACTGATACTGATTTATTCTGTTTTCAATTTTTCTGTACATAAAATGTGAGAATCATGAAACTTCGAGTTGAAAATGTGCAAAACATGTTGCGAATGGTGTTACGGTAACTTGCATAAATTTTGCATAATTTTGCTTTTTTTGTGTGCATAATTTGGCCTAATTTGCATAATTCTACGGGGACAGATATAAGGAAAAAATGGGGACTTGGGAACCATGTTCGAATTTAGTTACCGTTGGAGAATTTTCTTATCTAAAATGTTCTCCTCTCACATCATTTCCTGCTCTCTAACAACCCCCTCCTCTGGGCACCTGACTCTTTCTGCAGCATTTCTACTGCTACTCCTTGGCTCTTTCTTACTGCTGTCTTTCAGCCACACCCCTGATCTAATGGTAGGAAAGATGTACACCTAGCCTTCTCGAACAAAGGCGAAAAATCTTGGAGGTCCCGTGTGCTCGTTGAATTTCTCTTGGTGGTCCCTTGGCCTCATCTTAGCCTGAACAGCGTCGCGGAGACTCTATTCTGCGACATGCCGGACAAGAAGTCACCGGTGTACAGGAAGTACCTCAGGTCCCAGCAGGTCCGGTGGCATCCGGACAAGTTCATGCAGAAGTTCAGAGATCACTTGCATCCCGACCATGTGCCGAAGATAATGAACCAAGTGAAAGCGATTTCACAAGTGTTGAACAAACTGTCCAGTGAATAAAAATACAGTGAAGCCTTTCTATAACCACATCGTGGAAACCAGAAAAAAATGTTGTTATAGAGAGGCAATCAAAAGTAACTATTTATATATCAGGGTTGCCAGTTTTCCATTTTTGTCCTCTATTTCTATTGATCCTGATCCGCTATTCCGCTATTAGGATCGAGATAGAATCTATAGTTGAAAAAAAAAACAAACGAACAAACCCCCCCACGCACAACTTGCGCCAAATGTTTGTTTGTCATTTCTCTCTATGTACACCCTTTGGGTTTCAAATTGATATTCATTTGTTAGCGAGACCGTGGTGCGTGGATTTTGACCTATTTTTGACAAAGTTGAGTGGCATCCCTGATATATATATATATAAAAGGAAGAAATCGGGACCTGGGAACCATGTCGATATACAGAAGATGTTGTTATATCGAAGGTCATTATTGAGAGGCTGCACTGCACTGTCAACTCTGCTTGTGTTGAACTCGCTTGAGTTGACCGTCGGTTAAGTTGGTTGTTTTCTCGGGGAGGGGGGAGGCGAGCGAGCATCTACTCTTCTTTACAGCAGGTCCCAAAGGTTAAGTTGAACTTCGGATGAGTTGTACCCCCCGGGGCGGTGCTACTGACTGAAGTTTCTTTGGGCCTTTCCCTAAGGGGGGACATTAACATGCTCTTATGCTCAGTAGAATTGTAAATGGTCTGATTCATCAATGTCATGCTCATATCTGTGCCTGAACTGCATACGGGGAACAGCTGCTTTTTCTCTCCTAATCATTACTATCGTCATTTTTTCCTCTACTTCTTTTGTATGTTTGTCACTCTCTTGTGACCCGTTATTTCCGGGGTGCCTTGATAGTCGAACCAGACTTTGTGCTCTTGAAGTTAGAGAGGTGAGCAGAGTAAGCCTGATTCCCCGTATGGACTTTTGATATCCACCCCTTGGCGCTCATATGACCTTATGCAGTTGCAAATGCCGTAAAAACTTGACTAAAACTAAAACTAAAAGGATGAGTTGATCTTTTTTTATGTACTTGTTGAATCCAATTGTTTTTATTGATTTTTATGAATAAAAAAGTAGGGGAATCCAACTCCTTTCGTTGAATCGGAGGTTTTGTTGAATCCGAGTTGGTTGAAACCGAGTTCCACTGTATTATTATTATAATCAAGGATGGTAGCCTACATGTATGAGGGTTGACTTTTTAAATGTTATATTCTCATACTAAACTCATCTGTGGGTGGTTGGCGGGTGCTCTGGTGCGGTTTGCTTCTTCTTTTCTTTCAAACATCTATCGTCCTTATCTCCCCTACTTCTTTTTTTATGTTGGTTACTCTTTTGTAACTCCTCTAATCTTCTGGCGCTCATATGACCTTATGCAGTTGCGAGTGCTGTGAAACTTCTACTAAAACAAAACTCATCTGAGTATGACATTCATGTTAGTGTTAGGGATACAGTACTGTCCCCATCGTTTAATGCAAGAAAAATTCTTGAAATGATTCAAAATGAGCCAAAAAATGTGAAGTTAGGCGATTCTGTTAATTTTAACAAAGAATGATAAAGAAAAATAATCAGAAATTATGCTGAAAATGATCAAATTTTTCTAAATTATACTGGGTGCATAAAACCTCGGGGACAGACAGTATCTCCTCTTTTCAGTGTTTGTGGTGTATTGGTTGGGTACTGCCTCATCAGGGGTTCTCGTGGCCTAGAGGTTAAGGTGTTCGCCTCTCATTCAGTAGGTCCCGGGTTCGAATTTAGTTACTAATGGAACATTTTTTTTCTCCAAAATGTTCTCCTTTCACATCATTTCCTGCTCTCTAACAATGTTCTGGTGTCTGCTTTCGTCTCCACTTTCTGCCTCCGCCCCCTCACCCCTCCCCCCCCCTGCCCCCTCCTCTGGGCTCCTGGTTCTTTCTTCAGCTTTTCTACTGCTACTCCTTGGCTCCTTCTTACTGCTGTCTTTCAGCCACACCCCTGATCTATTGGTAGGAAAGATCTACGTAGCCTTCTCGGACAAAGGCGAAAAATCTTGGAGGTCCCGTGTGCATGTTACGCACGTTAAAGATCCCTTGGTGGTCCAAAATCGATAACAGTAGGCTTCGGCCGCCACCCGGGCAAAATTCAAACTTTCCTACCAACTGAAAATGTTTAATGTGTCCTGCGCGCTACTTTTCATGACTCAGCTCAGAGCTTCTGGGGTAAACAGCCTAAAGCTCCGGTTACACGCAACGATAATGCTCTTGAAAAAAACCAATTGAATAATGTTCCCCCAAGTTCATCAACAGAAGTATACTTGTTCCAATACCACCCTAGGTCATCGCACCACAATACCAGGTCCCGGTGATTCAGCAGTGACCTTAATGTAACAGACGTGGATGTGTGGAGCAGCATTGTACCACGTTCGTGCTTTGTCTGAAAGTAAAATGGCAATCTATGCAGTTTTAACTGTAGAGAAAATGAGTGTGTGGCCGTTGGTTTTTTGTTTGTTTTTGGCTTGGCACTAAAATATACACATGTCGCTGGCTGGATGCACGACTCCGACAAATTGGTACCTCAAAATTACAATAGTAATACATGTAGTAATAGTAGTAGTAGTAGCAGTAGCAGTAGCAGTAGTAGTAGTAGTAGTAGCGGTAGCGGTAGTAATAGTAATAGTAGTAGTAATAGGAGGAGGAGGAGAAAAAACCCAGGGACGAGCACGAGTGAAAATCAAACAGCAACAACGCCACGACAGTCAAATAAACTCCCTGTGCCACATCAATTTCTAGCATGGCTAGATCAAAGCAGGGGATCATTAGAGCAAGGGCCCTTTCAAACACGGTTGAAAAATAAATCAATTCAGTTTTAACTAAACTAGTCAACAAAAGTTAAGGAACGCACTGTAAAAACAGTGATAAATTTGCATGCATTCTTTCGAGGTTTTACTTTTACTAGTTGAGCTAGATATTGGTGAAATGTTTCTCTGTGACTAATGGGCTTGTACACACCAGGGTTTGAAATGCAAGTGACTCCTGTGCGCTGAGCTGGGGAGGGGGCAAAAAGGCCCAATGTTTTCAAATTGTCGATTTTTATTCTCTCGCTCTTACAGTCAAGAAAAATGACGAACGCTCAAAAATCAGTTTTCACGTGCAAGATTCATGTCTCGTGAGTGAGTTGCACACACTCATTTGCCCTGTGGATACACCATTCTGCAGCTGTAGGGCTTAGCGTAAACATGCCTCCTCGACAGAAATTGTCTGAGGTAAATAGAGGACGAGCCATTGCTTGGGTACAAGATGGTGTTTCACTCCGACAAGTTGCTGCACGTCATCGAGTGTCCGTTTCTGTCATTTCACGGCTGATTCAGCGTGTCAACGCCACTGGTAGTGCCCAAGAGCGACCCAGATCAGGTTGATCTAGAGCCACTAATGCAAGGGAAGACCGATTCATTCATAGACAAGCTCTGCAGTCGAGATCCGCTCCTGCAAATCGCATTCAGACACGGCTGAGAGCGGCAACTCGTGTTAACATTAGTTGTCAGACAGTACGAAGACGTCTTCATGAGTTCGGACTTAATGCACGTCGACCAGCAGTCCGTCAGCGTCTCACCCCAGCACACAGTGCTGCTCGTCTTGCCTTTTGCCGGCGCCATGTAAGATGGACACGTCAACAGTGGGCAAACGTTCTCTTCATCGACGAGTCCCGGTTATCTTTGCATCACAATGACGGTCGTATCAGGGTTTGAAGGCGACCCGGAGAGCGGCTCCTCGATGCAACCGTCAGAGAAGTGGTGCCTTTTGGTGGTGGTTCCGTGATGGTATGGGGTGCATTCAGTCTGAACCACAGAACACCTCTGTACCATGTGCAAGGGAATCTCACTGCAATACGTTACCAGAGATGAGATACTCCGCCCATTAGCACTACCTACTCTGCAGCAGATGGGGCCACACGCGATGTACCAGGATGACAACGCCCGACC